GATTTGATGCTCAAATTATCCCATCTTTGGCCAATGGGGGCCCGTTTGAGTTGTCTCTTGTTAGCCTTTAGCTTCTTTTCTGGCCTAACAAGTTCCAGGGAGAAATTTTCAATAACAGAGTATGAAACTGTCCATAATATATGTTGAAATTTTAACAAACAGCCTGCAGGTCAACCATATGCATTTAAAAAAAGATCAATAAGAAATATACCAAATTGTTAAATTTTTTTTTCTGCATCATACAATTATAGGAAAATACCATCCCTTTATTTTTCCTTACTTGTTTGTACTGTCCTGCACGTCACGTTTTGCACAATGAGAATTATTATTTTTATAATAAAAAATTAAATCAAAATTTTAACAACCCCAACAGATTTCCTTTATTAGCAAGTTCCTTTCATGCATTTAAAATAAGGTTCAAATTATTTTAAAAGATACTTAGACACACCTTTTCAGAACTGTAAGTGGAATAATTGTACAATTATTAACTATCTCCCATGTTTTCAAAGAGCTTATTATGTAAAGAAAGAGGAAAAATAGATTAACAAACTAATTTTTTGAACAACCTTTAGGCTACGAAATTATAATAGATGCCTGTTTCTCCTGCCTGTCTTTATAGACCTTAAGATATTTTTTCCTTAACAACAATTTGGAAACCAGTTAGTCGGTATATTTCTTACAGCACTCTAGTTAGGCCTCAACTTCCAGAGTTTCCCAATCTGTGAGTATTCTTTGTACAGTCCTTAGTCCTGCAAGTTGACAGATCCAAAACAAATTAAAAACAACAAAAACAACAAAAGAAACTATCCCTTACTATAAATAATTTACTACATGTAAATTAGCTTCCTTGACCTTAGGTGGTGATCATTTAGATGTGGCCTTAATGAGGGTCACTTTGACCTCACTTCCACCAGGGACCATCCAGGGCCCGTGGAAGAGGGATTTAAAATTGTTTACCCCAGAAAAAAATCACCCTGTATTTTCAAATGGGTCACACACTGGGTAAAACATGGAACATGGTCCTGTTGGGGGTGTGTGTGAGTGTGTGTGTGTGTGTGTGTGTGTGTGTGTGTGTGTGTGTGTGTTTAATGAAGTTATACTTATGATAAATAATAGAGAAAGAAGTGTAAAAGCTCAACTATGTAAGAGCTGGGGTGTGTGTGTGTGAGTGTGCGCATGTGTTGAAAGAAAAACTCCTTTCTGTCCAACAGACTGACAGTCTTGCACACCTTCTCCCTAAAGCCATGGAGCACAGTTTCCCTTACGCCAAAACCAGGCTGAAATGTTCTTACTTTCTCAGGCATTCTTCTAGAAATTTGAAACATCCCAAACTTTTGGGATATATCATTCAGAATTTCTGCCATTTCCTGCCCAGAAACATGGTGTCCTCATGATGTCATGTTGGCAACTTTTATCGTTGATCGTTTCCTTACAATAATATAACTAACAAAATCCATAATTATGAATATTGTGTTTATACATCTGTGGATTCTACAGGACACATTCAGGAGTCAAGGTAGCAGCAGGAACAGAAGTTTCACTCAAAGGGTTTAACCAAAGTGGGTTTAATAAATAAACCTCTTTAATAGGTGCTTGATCCAAGTGTGGTTTAGACATGAACAACCAAAGAACATTAACTTGTCTTCACTACTCTCAGAATCTTGGACGTAAATGTGAACAGAGAATATTTTACATGGAATTTTGGGAAGAAGTATTTATCTTCATCTGGATTGGTGGTCTGCTTCCAACTGTGACCATGACGTTAAATATGAGGAGGAGGAGAAAGAGGAAGGATGGGAGAGAGGGGAGAAGGGGCCGTAAACAAGACTTGATGAAAAATAACCACCTCTTCATTGCTGCACAGAGGAAATACCTCAGGTGCCACAGGTGACCAGATGACTCTGGTATATGAAGCGCAGTTGCCTTTGTGCCAGTCTGGCTTTCCATAACTTTAAGTGTGTACTCTATGTAGTAGGAAAATCGAAGACCCCACCCTTTCCAGAACTAAATTCCTTTGTTTGTGTTGGTCCCAATAGACAAAACAGGCAAATGTTCCAAGCTTCTCTAATAACTCACAGATTTCCTTGGATATGGATTTGCCTTAATAGGCTTGGCAGTTTATAGGAACTGTGTGTTGTAAGTGATATTTACGCTACTCCTTTGGCTTATTTATGAGCTCCATCAGTGTGGGGACTGGGTATTAGAGCTCTGGGCTGCTTCAGTGCCAAGGCTTGGTACATATTTGTATAACTAGTGAGAGACCATGTTTTATATTCCTGTTGTTTCCCCCTCAATGTGAAGCACAATACTAGACCGTTAAGAAATGTCCGGTGAACTCTCGCTTATGCAGTAATTCAAATGCTGTGCAAAGTAACTAAAGTTAAAAATTTATTTCAGTATTTATCTTCTCAATCCTTGCCCCTGGAGATACTGGCTGTAAATATTGATGACAGGTGAGGCACACATTCCAGAATAAAAAACTGCTACTGCCTTTCCCAAACGGCTACCACTCTAAATAATTTCAGTTCCCAATTTTTAATAAGACCCTAGCACTTAACCCTTGACATTGCTAGTCCTGAAGACATGGTGTGTGCATATTCTTTCTTGTTTAACTCCAGCAAAATGATACTAAAAGAACCAAACAGAACACATTTGCTTTCTGTTTATTTAAAGTGTAATTTTGACAGTGTTTCTCAATACTAGAAGTTGTTCAATTTCATCCCTTGGAGAAACATTATTTTTTTAGGGTAGAGAATCTGAAGCGTGGATTTTTATTTATTGGGGCCAACTCTTTCAAAAGAAGTACTTTATGGAACTGACTCATAAGGAAATAATTTCAAAGACGATGGGTAATTTTGAATGGTTGGGCCTCATTCCTTTGGGTTTATCTGCTTTGGGATAGGAATCAAGAAAGAGTGGCTCTTCTGAGTCAGGGTCAGACCTGTTGAGCCTTGTCAGAGTGCTGGAATCTGCCTGAGTAATTAGCAGCTTTGCACCTTCAGAAAGGATCTTGAATCTCTGTGGGTTGAAGCATGGGACATGCAAATGGAACAGAAAGGCAGGGACAATCGCAGTAGAGGCCAAGAGGGGTTCTCATCACTCTGTAATTCAGAGCCAGTGTCTTCAGGAGTTCAGGAAGAATCTTGCACATTTAAAAGAGCATCACAGACATCAAAGACAGCAGGCATGAGCAATGCACTAACCACCTTGCACTTCCAGAAATGGACTGTTGAGGTCCTATGTATATTACTATGTCCAAAAGTCAAAAAAGAATATTAGGAGAAATAAATCATTTTACCGTTGCCAAGTTCACTTTGTTCTAGGAACTGGGATATTTCATAATAAAAATTGAAGTAAAGGCCAAAAATGAAGCAATAGCAATTCTTTTTTTTAGATAGATTCTACTCATCTTAATTCAGGCAATCAGTATGTTTTATTCAGACCTAGTTCTATTTCTGTCTTTAGTTAAGCTATGGAGTTTTAAGATAGCCTTTCATAGATGACAAATTATTTTAGTTCCTTTAATATTCATAAAACTATAATAGTTCTAAAAGTTTTTTGTACTAAGTGTCTATTCTTTTTTTGTCTAATTAGTTACTGGCATCAAAATATTTTTGTATAACAAGGAAATATTTAGTAATGAAAATTACCTCTAATTGATTAGTTTAAGTAGACATACTTTTAAGTAATATTGATTTGCATTTAACTCCCATACAATTCTCCTCATCAAAGTACAAATGAATTAACCAACTATCATAAATATTTAATAAACATGGAAAGCATTTCTAGTAATAAAGGTATGACTTTTTCATTTGCTTAATCAGCATCTACACAGTTCACTTTATATCATGCATATTAATTTATACTAGTGATGGTAATAATCTATAACTTACAAATCAAGGGAATGTTTCTAATTTGAATATCATTTTCATTTTATGAGTTTACTCCAGACAGCATTATATCTGATTTGATATATTTTTGGTTGGGTGTGTATGATAATAAAACAAGATCATTCCTTGAACTCCTAAAAGCTGATCTCTTATCTATCATTCTGTTAACCAAGTGATAGACCCAAATGATCAAACACTGAGTATGGTCAATAATATTCAAGTAACTTTTTTCCCAAGCACAAACAGCTCTGAAATGTTTCCACTAATGATCCTGAGTTGCTGTGGTGTACTTTTTATCACTAACCCCATAAAAAATCTATGGACAGGGCCGGCCCAGTGGCGCGTTGGTTAAGAGCTGGCTTGGGACGCCAGAGGGCCCCAGTTCGGATCCCACATATGAGGGCCAGTGACACTGCCCTCTACAGCTAAGATACTGAACAACAGCTCAACCTGGAGCTGGGCTGCCATGAGTCCCCAGCGACAGCGCAGGCTGCAGCCCCTGCTGCAGTGGGTTGCCATGGGCTACCGTGTGTAGCCAGCAGCCAGCGTGAGCGGCCAGCAGCCACCGTGAGCTGCCATCCAGAAGCCGGTGACTGAACTGCCTCGCCAGGGAAAAGCGCAATGATGGTGTCAGCTTGGGCCAGTGAAGCAACATCCTCCACAACTAGACTGAAGAATGAAAGGACAGCAACTTGTCTGTTCCCCTTCCCCCGATTCCCCAGTGCTGTTCCCATCCCCCCCAATTCCCCAATAAAAATCTTTAAAAAAAAAAATCTATGGACAGTTATGACCCAAAAGTTGACTACCTGAAGTGTTAAAACAGACAAGCCTTTAGGTTTTGACAACATGAGTGTTACAGAAACATTTGTGATCCAGAAAGCTTGTAAGGTGTTGCCTTAAAATTACTTTTTGATTGTAGATATTTTCTTTGTTAAAATGATTGACCAAATATGGAAAATAAAAGGGGAGTCATTCACAGGCGTTACCTTGGGGCTTCGTAAGGAGAGTCTGTGTGTGTGAGCACATGTATGCATGGCTTCCTGCACGCTACTCTTGGCCATCATTGATTTCTTCCTCCTCATTAAACACTTATTGATTCCTGTCTTCCAGATGACACAGGCTGTCCTAGTAGCCAGTCAGTGTCTCCTGTGAAAACGCCCTCGGATTCTGGAAATAGTCCTGTTGGCTTTCGCCCTGGGAGTGATGAAGACTTTACTCGAAAGAAATGCACAATTGGCATGGTTGGTGAGGGAAGCATCCAGTCAGCTCGATACAAGAAGGAACCAAAGGCGGGCCTTGTAAAGCCAGGTAAATGCTTTTATATTCATGTTTTTATCAGAGTGATGTGATGGGAGTGATTTCACATTGGAAGTGAAGCACCTGTGTATAGAGACAGGGAACATTATTGCTGTACCCAGGATTCAGAAACATCTTTTTTTTTTTTTGAAGGACGTGGGGCAAAAAGTGGAATATTTTCTGTACTGGTTGTTAGCAATTGAGTAAGTATAGTGACATGTGTGCATTATAAAGACATAGAAAAAGGAGGAACGTTTGGAAAATGTAAACTGGATTGTCTAACAGACATTTAAACTCTATCATGAATTCCAGCATAAATTATATTAAGAAATTACTTGGTACCATCTAAAGTCTTCCCAAATTATGAAAAGAACAGATTATATTGATGCAAACCTATGGGACTCGCATACTTGCGAACCTAGTTATTTTCTTTGCTTTTAAAGATTGAAATGTGACTATGACCTTGCATTTATATATACATATAAATGTTCAATAATTACAAAATATTAAAAACTATGAGATGAAATGGAGATCATTATTGCAATGGACGAGATGCCATGAACATGAACATCAGTAAAGGTCAAGTCTCAGAATTTGCAATATATAAATATTTTGTATCTTAGAAATATATACACATGGATGGGGAAGAGGCTTGATCACTGCACTGTACACCTGAAGCTGATGTTGTATAATATTGTATGTCAACTATAATTGAATATATATATATATA